CTCCCAAAGGTGCTGATTACATGAACTTTAAAAATAAATTTTCTTTCCCATCTTATCTTCTGGCTTCTAGGCAAGAGCACTAAAGTATGCGGAATAACACTGACTTCCGGCATGAACACCTACTGGGAGAGTTGTGCTTAAAAACAAATCATCTGGAGAGTTGAGGAAAATTTCCCCCTTGCTTGAATATACTTATGAAAATAAAAAACAAAACTGTCACTTTCAGACACATGAAAGGAATCATAGAAAATGAACAATTATCATGGTGCTTGGTGGCTAGAATATTTTTTAAAAGCCATTATTTGTGGATTTTTTTTAAAGACTAAGTGGAGATGAATTGGCTTCTTAAAGTCAATAGTTAAAGTGAGACTGCCAAAAAAGTAAACAGGAACAACTTTAACTCCTCTGTTTTTCTTTTGAGAACCACAGAGACTAATACTTCAAAGACCTGCCAAAGAGCTAGTGGAAATTTTTATTTTTAAAAATAAGTGCACAAATAAAGATAAGGTGACTTTTTTTAAACCTAGAGCTCCAAATAGGATTTAACTCTTTTTGAAATATATGTGGACATTAAATACCTTATTGTCTAAACCTCAGTGCAAGAAATCATCAAAGTAAATTATCTTCAATTCAAATATCAAAACTTGCTTTTCCCTAGCAAATTTTAAAATTTTTCTCGCTTTAAGTTACACTTCCTTTGCTCCTTGGGTTGTTCTTAAAGCAGTGTGTGGCAATGTGATGGCATTTAATTACTTAAAATACTTGTATGTAGTTAAGACTTCATGTAAATGAAGTCCAGCCTAGTTTTAGGAATAAAAACAAGTCAGTAGAATAGAGTTGGTGCTATGAATATAATTAAGAATGTGATCATGAAGACATACATTTTAATATAATACAAAGACAAGAAGTGCCAAATCAAGAAGTAGGGTTTTTTGAGAAGCAGTTGTGGTTGTATTAATGTATTCTACCATTATGAAGAAATCATGGCTGATGCTTTTGATGAATTCTCTTGGTCTGGAAAGCAGCTCCTTACAATAAATGTCTTAGATTTGTCAGTAGTAGAATTAGCATACTTTTTGTCATTAAAACAGGTTTCTTGAAATCATTTGTTCAATTTGTAGACCAATTTATATCAGTATTGCCTACCTTTATTTCCACTTCTATTATCTCTTTATGATTTAATTTAAATACCTCAACTTGACCTTAAAACCCTCTACCTACTGCCCCAAGGCATGCAGCTGTTTTTCATCCCAGGTCTATCTACTCCTTGCCCAAATTTCCTCCTTTTAACTTATCTCTTGTACTATCTCAGCACTCCTCGAACATAACTCATCCTGCTGTCGCTCAGACAGGGAAGCAGTTTTGTTAAAATGCAAGTGGTTTAGTAAATCCATGACAGGAATTGCACTGAATTCCATTTCTAAATCGTTAGGCATCCCTTTCCTCATACCTCTCTCTCCAATCCTTATTTATCTACATCTATATCTTTAGAAACATAAATATTTTTCTGGAAAGTTATATAGCTTTTACCAGAATGTATCAGCTTATGACCCAGAAAAGATTTCAGCCCTTGGTTCTTGGACACCATCAATTAAAATACTCACTTCCCTTCACAAAAAATTATGCTCACGCTTTTGCTCAGACGCATAGTGGCTGAGAAGGCGCTGGCTGAACCCTGTCTACCCTGCACACACCGCCTCCTTCACTCTGTGTGTCCCTGTCCCCACATCCAGGTATTTGAATGCACTCTGGTTGAACCTGTGCCGTGAAGGACCTGTCATTTGTGGAGTTTTACCTTTTACCTTCTGGCAGTCAGTACTCACTGTCACCCAAATCACATGTCCTTTTCAAAGAGTCAAATGCCCTTCGAAATACCAAGCACACTTCACCTTCTTCCAGAAGGTCGCTGCCACGAATGGGAGGTGATAGCTATTATTAGTCCCAAGTCAACATTCAGCACTAAACGATTGCAAAGGGAAAACTTTCTCTAGCACACATAACTGCTAGCACTTTTAAATTGATGATTGTTACAGGGTAGCCCAGAGTGGCTAGTACTTTTAAATTGTGAGGTTTAGTTGTCTGAATTCAACCTGTATCTTTTACGACTAGACTTACAAAGTGGATTTTTCTTTCCTGAATCGTGCTTGGTGACGAAAATGTAAATGAAACTCTTGATCTGAAGACTTTACCAAAATTCTCTCACATAATCATACAAAGCTCCCCTCCATACAAAGCTATTGTGGTAGTTAAGTACAGCCTAATTAGAGCTAAAATTCAGTTGGCACTCACTTGCCATTAGCAAGTACCATTCCAAGTATTTCAGATGAAGTGTTAAAACTCTAGCAACCCTATGACTCAGATTCAATGGTCAGCTCTCATCTTAGAGAAGGAAGCTGTGCCATAGAACAGGCAAGTAACCAGTTAAGTTCAACAGTAAGTGCTGAACCAGGATTCAAAGCTATGTATTGAGGCACCCCCTTGGTCTTCCCTCTACTCCCTCCACCCCCCCAGCAGTCTTAATCCTGATGCAATGCTGCACCATCCAAGTGGGATTCCTTCAGAATCATGCTCACAAAGACCAGCACCTCCCATTCACCCACCTGTCATGTGACTTCTTGAAGGTGCCGATCTGATCATGACAGTATTGTAAGACTGTTAGTGACTTCTCGTTGCCTACAAGCTAGAGTCTAAATCCTACCGATGGCCCAAGAACTTGCTTCCCACATCCCAGCCACGTTACGTACATCTCCCAGTTAGCCTATGCTAGTTAATGCTACTGGACCTTCAAACTCTCTGCCCCAACTTTCCTCTCCCTCTTACCCTGGAAGCTCACACACATCTTTCCAGACTTCTCCCAGACATCTCTATGCCCTTCCTTACTACCTCTGTGTGCTATTATATTACTACACGAAACTGTTAGTCAAAATTAAAGCTACCATTTTTGAATGCTCACATGTTGGCAAAGTGCTGAGCATTGTGTGCTTGGTGGGTATAAATCTTGAGTCATAGTCATAATTATGGAAGAAATGTAACTTTCTTTTAAAAAAACTGAATATAATTTCTATTTTGAGAATTCATTCATGGAGATGTTGACTTACGATCAGTCATTTCAGGTTCTCTTTCTGCTGCTGGGGTCGCAGCTAAGTTGTGAGGGGCTCAGGCAGAGTCCAGCTAGCGGGGTATGTGGGAGTTGCAGGCTCTCTCCTGCCTCCAAGCATCCACACCCTCCCTGCTGGATTCCCAATAGGTGAGGGACTAAGCCATTCTCCAGACTTGCTCAGAGTCAGGTCCCACATAATTTCTGCTTTCAAATCCGTAATCGTCACTGGAGCTTCCATCTTATTTTATTCAGTACTGTGAACTAATGTCCCTTGGATTCCCCTCTGACTCTGCTTACCCTCCTTTGTTTAGGCCTAGAAAACTATAATATCTGTTAGTAAGGGAAAACAGGATCTGACTCATAGAGTATTGTTTCAAAGCTTACTTAAGTCTTATGCCTAGATTCATTTATGAGTTCTGCTGAGTCATCCTTCCTTGGTCAATAAATGGCACCAACTTGGAAGAAAGTCAGGGTACAGGAAAGTTCAGTGACAGTGAATAAGAACAGTTAATACCTCCCTATTACTTCTGGCCCTAACACACACACTCAATGATTAAGCTCATATAATTGTCACAAAACCCATGAGAAGTAATCATTCTCATTTTACAGGAGAAAACAGAGTTTTAATGAATCAAGTTTGCTTACAGCTAGAAAGCATGAAACCAACTCCATGTTCTGGGTGTGATACTATACTATCCTTATGACATCGTCCTGAAAGAATTTCCTTAGATATGTGAGTTTCCCACTAAACTGAAAGCTCAGTGAAGGGCTTGGACCTCATCCATCTCATAACCCCAATGTCTTGCACTTAACAGGCATTCGTTTGGTGATAACAGAAACTTAATGGGTCAAAGAGAGAGGGGAAGCTAAGGAGGGGGAAAAGGTGAGTGGGAAAAATTCCCTAAGTTATTCTGAAACTTCCTGAATGATATTCTGTCAACTGAAATATCAATGGAATTAAAGGTTTTGATGGTCTAAATCATGTCCAGAATTGGACTCTCCTTACATTATACTATCAGATTACTTCAGGCATGTAAATTAATTCCTTGTGTCCAGAAATAACAACTGGGTATCACATACATAGATGAGGAGTGACATTATGACAGATGTCATCAGTCAGCATAGCCCTAGTCTATTTTTGTTTTCTAGGACTTTCCCACTCAAGACTGCGGTGATATATAAATCTGATGATTCTGGAATTTCACACCTTTTTATTAAGACTTTGTCTGAAAGCTCTTGTTATCCCACATTACATATACACTTCTGATAAAAATATCATATTTATTAAAATAAGGGTAAAGGTTTTAGGCTATGACATACCCAAGTTATAATCAAAGACAGGTTTGGAACAGTTTTTTCTTCCTTCACAATCATCAATCCTCAAACTCATTTAAAAAATTTTTTTATTTGATCTTGCAGCAAAAACTACAACACAATGCAAGTAAAGAGAGTTAGCCTTTCTCCAGGTAACTTCTGCTATCAGCCTCCTATGTGTTCCACCTTTTGTGTTTAACATAAGTGTTCAAGCACATCTTCACATTTGTAAAAGTTTGAGTTTTATTTTGTCTCCTGACCCTCCCTTGACTTTTCTCTCTCACCCCCATCTCCGCCCTTTCTTGTTCTTTCCCCCTTTTTCTTCTCTGTCTTCTCTCTCTCCTCTTTCTTCCCTTTATTTTTTATTTCCCATTTCTTCTTTTTTCTTTCTAAAATAACCTTGGGACACCCAGGCTCTTAAGGAATTGAATTCCTTTAAGTTGTTACAGCTTCCTTTCTGTGTTGTCTTCCTATCTTACAAAATCTCAGGATGAAAAAGTGGGAGGAAAGGGTGGGGAGAAAGTAAAACATTCAATTATAAGTAGTAAAATATTCAGCTAATCAAAAGAAACTTATTTAGTTGACATATTTCAGAACTCTGCTGCTTTTGTAATTATTAAATTATTTAGTACACATATAATTCAAAAAATAAATTATGCTTGATTTATCTAAATGCCTAAACTCTATAGATATCTTTTAAAAAGCAAAATATAAATTTATAGTTATGCCCCAGAAGTCCTCTCTGCAATCCTATCTCCCAGGAAAAGTTTAGTATTTCATCTCAGATGTCTTTGTGGACATTTATAAAATACATAAACTACAAATTACATGTCATATGTATGTAGACACTAGTGGGAGGCTTTTTCAGCTAAAAATATTGTCATCTCTCCATGTCACTAATCTATAGGTCTCTTCCTTTCCTTTTAAACAATGCATAGGCTTCTCAATTAACCATTTCTGTATGAACATTTAGGTTGCTTCCAGTTTCCAGGATGCATTTCTAATCTTTTGACCAAAACTTTACAGAGAAAATATGGTCAGTCCTTGTCTCCTTAATGACAGAGGACTTGCTGACCTGAGTAACTCTTACTTGATCAATGACACCGTGTAACATTCTCACATAAAACATAAAACATTCTCACATTTCTGTGAGAACAGAAACTTGTTAACTGCCCTCACCTCCTGACATTCTCTTTAACTCTTCTGCTAGTTTTTGTTGTTATTCTGCTCTTCCTTCTTGTTTCTGTTTAGACCTCCCCAGGCTGGATGCAAAATCCCAAATGCAGCTGTGCTCTCACATACAACCGCACAAATAGTGAGTGACCTTGTGTCCACCTAGTTCGGTCCTCTTTTCCTTGAGTTTTCTGACATTTTCCAAACTTTATGTAGCTTTCTAGGTGACAGCCAGGTTATATAAGACCTTGACTTGGGACCCTCAACCTGGGGCTACATAGAAAAACAAATATAGAGGTTGCCTTGTCTATGTGAGTCAGCCAGCAACTGATGATGCCTTAACTCAGGAGTAAGGGTGAAAACGCTGGGTTCGCTATGGGAAAAGATGACGATAGAAGGGCAAAAGTAGTTTAAAAAAAAAAGAAGAAAAGTAGTTTAAAAGACTCTCTCAAGAAGCTGAAATGAGAGGGCTGTCCCCATTCGTATTACAGTATCACTTGGTGAGATAAATTATTTCTTGAGCTTGGAGTCTTGAATGCATTTTCCTACTTTAAATTTCCAGTTTATAACATTTTATTCCACGAGGACAGTTGGTCACTTGTTTTTCATATTTTGCTGTAAGTGATTCAAAAGTTAGAAAAAATATATTTATTAAAGTGAACATTATGTTAGAAGTTATACCATGTTCACACTAACCCCAAGTACCCCCTTGAGAAGCTCACCATATGTCCTTCCTGATGTCTTTCTCCAAAGCAAACAATCCGTGTTTCTAGTGTGCTCCTTCTTGATTGTGTGTTGTTTATGGTGACCAATGACCGGTGCCTAGAATTGATTTTCAGCATTCAAAATAAATTGACATTGTTTTTACCTCTAAAGAAAAGTACAGATGAATCACATTTTATTACACGGCTGTGGGAAAAGTGATTTGCCATTATTATTATTATTATACTCTTATACTTTGAATAGTTAATTTCTATATCAAAACTTTCTTTGAAAGTTTTGATATAGAAATTAAAAACAAATAATGGCTAATTCTAAGTTTAATTTAATACTTTAACATATAACATATTATTAAACTATACTATCATAGAAAAGAAGGTAAGTTACTGAAAAAATAAACTCAATTATGCATATGAATTCTAGATACAGTTTCCTTAAGCAATTTATGCTGAGATTCTAAATGATTCAAAAAATAATTGCTGAGTCTATAATTTAGAGATACAAGGAAGTAACCCCATATTTCTTAAGCTTTTTTTTTTTTTTTTAAGATTTATTTGTGCATACAGAACTGGTATACAGGCCAGACCACTCCCCAGGAGACTTATTCCAGTCTCTCTGGTCCTTTTTTTCCCCAAGAAGTTACTTTCTTTTATCATACCTGTCAATTTTTTGTTAACTGTAGTTAATATTTTTGAAAAACGGTAGAAAAACCTGATTAATCAAAATGCTTCCTTCACATTGTAGCCTGATTTATGTTTTCTTCTAATACCAAATTATTATAAGAGTCTGAATTCAACTGTGAAGAAATTAATTCTCAACGTTTATTATAGGTCATTTAGATTGTGAGAAGTTATACAATGTACAAACTGCTTTTAAGTCTATTATAAACAGACATTTCTCTCATATTGAGACTTATGAGATAAGATTATCTTGTATCTGATTATCTTGCCTATTCTTTATTCCCCACCCCAGCATCAGAGGAAGGGGGTGTGAGAGCAACAATATGCCTTTTTCAAAGTGTAAAGTTTATGGTCTGTTAATTATATCTCCATATGGATATATTTTAAAAGGAATCATGGCCTCAAATAAAAGTAAAAGAACATAAACAGCAGGCTCCAGACTGGCCACCAATGAATGTCCTTGTTTCCTGCAGCAGGTTGAACACTTTTTTCTATTTGTTACTTCCTCATAAAAGACATTAACATTTTTAAGCTTTGTTTTCATCTAATAATGAAGACACTTTGCAGAGAGTTCAAAGACCCTGGCTTTAATAATTGGCCTGGAATTTATCCCAATACACACATGGTCATTTACCAGTTATGCTTTGTAAAGGGCCATTTTGCAGGAGAGCTGAGACATCCGGCGAGGGAACCTCCCCTACCTGATGCAGAGACACTAGCAATGTATGTACTACTGCAGATGCTTTCGCCATTCAAGTTTCACCTTTGATGCGATGGGATAGGTTGTTTTTCTTTTCTCTACAAATCACTGATGATATCTCTAAATTACAAGATAAGTAAAACATTTTTTTTTTTTTTTTTTCAGAATCTGTGGTACAGCAGAAGTGCAGGGACCTTTGTCATAGTGATAGGTTTAGCTGGTATGATATAGTCTGTGTGGGAGGTAAGACTTGGATTCGAAGTATTTCTAATCACCAATTCAAAGTGATGTTCACACAGGAATAGTGGGATCTGCTCTCTCTACCCTTATGAGATTTCAACTGATCTGGAACACTTTCAAAACAAGATAAAGCAGCCCTACGAGAGAAGGTCTTATCTCTTTTATCCAGAGAGTTCCTGGTGGTGTCCTCCAGCTAATACTTACTTCCTCAACATGAGTCCAGGGTCATGTCATGTGCTTTTCTAAGTTCTAAGGGCTGGCTTAAGTTCCCAACATCACCTGCCTCCCTCTCCCCAGTACTAGATCCTCACAAGATGTGTGGATACAGATTAGGCAGCATCAAGACTCTGTTTCTAGCACTTAGCAGAAACAATGTGCCTACCCATTGGACAGTAAAGGGGTATGTGTTTGCACATGCAGGTGATACCGTATTGAAAACCACATACAATTGTGTGTGTGTGTGTGTGTGTGTGTGTATTTCAACATCATTCTTCACTTTGTACATTTTTTCACCTCGGTCGTAATCCTCATGGACTTCCCACCACCCATTCACCCGTGTGCCATCACAATAGTCCTGTGTGCTCTTCCTGCCCCAGTTTTGATACTATCCTCCTTCCGACCCTCAGAGAATGTCCCTAGTCGACTTTCGTTTCTACTTTATGATTGCCTTTTTTTTTTAATACCATGTACACTTTAAAGAGGTATAATATCTTGAGGGTGGGGCAGCCTGTCCATGAAGATCTCAGTAAAGAGGTGTATTCAAGGGTTCAAGGGTTTCTATGGCCCCTAATGCTTCTAAACTCACCTTATTAAAAAAAAAAAAAGCACAATCAAATCAAGGCAAATGGCATCGGCTCTTTGGAAAGGAGGCGTCTAGTTTCCACCTAAGTAGGCATTCTCTTCTTTGTGCCTGTAAGTGTAGTTATCACCTAAAATACAGAACCTGAAATCTAACAAAAGGGATTCTGCTTGAGAAGAAGTAAAGCCAGTTCCAAATCTTACTGTTACTTTAATCTCTGGAGATGACATGTGAAAGCAATTAAGCAAGCTACTCTCTAAGGAAAAAAAAAGAAAAGCCTTACCTCCATTGAAAGAGGCTGGGTGAGCTTTGAAGAAAGATGCAGATGAGAATATTAGCACCCCTCCTGCCTTAAGAATAGCAACTGGACCTGTATCGTATCATACATGCAAATACATATATTGTTTAAGAACCGAAATTGGACAAAGCTGAGTTCACAATCTCCCAAGCAAACGCAGTCACAACCGCTAGAATACACACCTGCCCCTTATCCAGGGATGGTGCTCATGAAAACAAAAGGCAGCAGCGGACGAGGTTTCCACAGCCATAGCCTATCAACAACCACTTGAATCTCCGTTTGCCTTATGCCTTATGCTACAAAGAGGAACTGTGAGGGGGGAAAAAAGGATATTTTTCTTATACTGTGAGCACATTTTTTTTTTTAAAGGTGAGCTTTTTGCTCCATCTGATCAATCACTACCAACAACTAACCCCAGAAAAGCGATCACGGGTTGTTCTCGACTTAAGAGTCGATATTTTCCTTTCGGGTCCCTTTTCATTTCAAAATGGACGGGGCAAGGGCAGACACCTTCCAGACCTCGAGCTGAGAAAGCAGAGCCCGAGATTGCGTGCGTTGCCCCCTTACTTCCACGGGGTCCAGAGAACGCAGATTGCACAGGGGCTACGGGAGCCCGACTCTTCCCACCCAGAACGGTTTTCAAACCTTAGGGAGCCTTCCCTGCTATTGAAATGCAAATCCCGTCCCGGGCGCGCTGGCCAATCGCGCAGGCTTCCTGTGGGATTACCTGGTGGCGAGCGCGGAGCCGGCGCGGCCGCAGCGGCGGGGGAGGCGTGGCCG